TCAAACTTGCAAGATTCTATCACCGTAGCTTTACAATAAAAATAATACTGATGCACATAACATTGGATTCCTAGTCTGATCTACCTTGAAGGGTTGAATGCGCTTCTTGATAGGCCCTTGTGTTACAACTGCTAGATAAGCTGCATTGGTTGCCAATCCATTTCCAGATGCAATTCAAGGTGTTGGTCGTTACCTATAAAGCTTTATAGTATAGAACCTGATCTGCAGGATCAACTATGAACAATTGTTTCTACTTGCCCAGTACATTCCAGCAGAGTAGGTATGCTCCAGCTTCTTTCTATCAAATACTATCATCTTACATAACCGAGGGAGTTTGCCTTGCCTATAACAGCCCTCAGTCTCTGGAACAGCATCTCCCCAGAAATACAGACAGCATCCTCTCCTGGAGTTCTGAAAAGCTCTTAAAATGCCATTGTAGTCTCAAGCTTGTTTGTGGGGTCCCTGTCTTGGTTTCTTATTGTTATAAGTGTTCTGGACTGTTCATAATGTTGTATGTTTTTTTAAATGGTATTTGTAAGCCACCCAGAGCCTAGTGGAGTGGGCAGCTACAATAAATTTAAATAAATAAGGTAATATTATGGTAGTATCACAAAAAATATGCTGGAATTTGTGTGTGTGTGTGTGTGTGTGTGTGTGTGTGTGTGTGTGTGTGTGTGTGACAGAGACAGAGACTGATTTTCTTTCATGAAGTCACATATTAATCCAACCAGGCAAGTACTGTCCACTGTAACTGTAATTAAATTTCTCTGGGTATTATATTTTTAGTATTATTATTTGCATTTTACACTTGGAAAAAACATGTGCTCTATCAGAAGCAGATTAACACTGTTTAAAAACATCTGGTGATCTTCTGTGTGACAGTAAATAATAAAATGCCTTTCTGAAATTTGAATTGCCAACAATCCAAAATTCTAGTGATACTTATTTTCAAAAACTGTATTGGCAAACACTGGGAAATACCAAAGAGAAACACTGAATTAAATGTTGATAGAAGTTGTAATCTTATCCAGAGTTTTGAGATGAAGATTAAGTCTTTATCAGATCAGTGAAATGTATGTCCGAATACACATTCACTTGTTTGGATTAAAAATTATTGACAATGACTTGGAAGATACAGACATGTTAGATAAAAGTGATTCTTCTCATATTGTATATTCTAGATAATTTTTATATGTAAAACAAAAAAAAATAGCTATCTTTGTTTTTCTTTGCACTATAGAAGATATTCCTGTTCTGAAGCACAATGTTATTCCTCAAACAAAACCATTTAAGAGTAAACTAAACATCATTTACAGTCTAGAGCAGGGGTGTCAAACTCGTAGCCCACGGCCAGATGCCTCATGCGCTGGCCATGCCTACCCCGGTTTAGCGAAGGGGGAAAAGTTGTGATACATCACATGATGACAACATGACACTGCAAGTTTGACACCCCTGATCTAGAGACATTATGATCAAACGTAGAAGACTGATGTAATGATGGTATGGAAAAAATCTCATACATATATTTAATTCATTATTGAGTTTTTTTATTTCAACATATCTAGAGTAAATAATGACATAACAATCTTACTTGATCTATTCCTAAACTAATTTTCAGGAAACAAGATCCCCCAAATATAAGAAATATTACAAGACTAGTAGAAGTGACTATTTACAGTAGTTTGGTTTTCATCTCACTGCATTGTCTGTTTAATTTCAACTTAAGTAAAACCATTGTTTAGATCTTGCTCCAATTTGATGCCATAAAGATAGATTTAAACTCAACATAATAGCAATAATATTTGCTTAATATATAGCAACTCAAAGGGAAAGCAATCTTTGTTTACACATAACAAAATGACTGAGCTAAGCTATGCTCATGGTTTCCAAACTAAACAGAATGAGCTGGGTTTGAACATCACACTAAGCCATTAATCACAATTTACAAACCACTACTATCAGGTTCACATGTTAAGTCAAAATCAAACAATCCATATTTTGGCTTATTCAAAATTTGTACTAGGCCAATTGTTTAAATCAGCCTGCAAGAATTCAGTGTAAGGTGTAACTGTTCTTATGAGTTTTATGTGAAATCACACAGACCTGTATAAGCTTTAAGCATACATATATTATTTGCCCATAGAAAGAAGGATATAGTGTAAAGTGAACTTTTCAATATTATGCTAAGACCATTTTACACTTTCTTTAATGGTGGAAAGAAGGAAGACTGTTTGCAGCTCCCTTATCCAACTAGGTATCTCTTGCTGTATTTATATATACATATATGTATACGTACAGTTAGTCCTTGACTTACAACAGTTCATTTAGTGATTGTTTTAGACCAAATGGCACTGAAAAAAGTAACTTATGACCGTTTTTCACACATATGACGGTTGCAGGATCCCCATGATCAGAGTGATCAAAATTCAGATGCTTGGCAACTAACTCATATTTATGACAGTTACAATGTCCCAGGTTATGCGATCACCTTTTCCGACCTTCTGACGAGCAAAACCAATGGGGAAGCCAGATTCACTTAACAACCATGTTACTAACTTAATAACTGTGGTGATTCACTTAATTGTGCCAAGAAAGGTTGTAAAATGGGGCAAAACTCACTTAACAATGATTTATTTATTTATTTTATTGAATTTGTATACCGCCCTACTCCCGAAGGACTCAGAGCGATGAACAGCCATAGAATAAAACATATAAATACAAAATTTAAAATAAATTAAAACAAATTAAATAATTTGGCTGAAAATTTAAAACCCCAATAATTTAAAACCAAATTTAAAATTTCCATTTAAAAAGGGGAAAGACTTAGGTCAGGCCAGCTTGATGAAATAAGAACGTCTTGAGCGCGCGACAGAAGGTACGCAGATCCGGGATCCTCCGTATCTCCGGGGGGAGCTCGTTCCAGATGGTAGGTGCCCCCACAGAGAAGGCTCTCCCCCTGGGGGCCGCCAGTCAACATTGTTTGGCCGACGGCACCCAGAGGATCTCACTTAGCAACAGAGATTTTGGGCTCAATTGTGGTTGTAAGTTGAGGACTACCTGTACACATGTTAAATTTCTTCAGGAATTACCACTACTATATACCTAGTATATATAATATTAACTATCCCAAAAAACCAGCATGTCTGAAGGTAACAAATACCTAATAAATCTCTTTTAAGACATGAAAGTTATGAGTAACACATTAGTAGTACAGTATGTTATGTAAATAGAGCAAAAAATACCATTTTTACTGCTTGACATTTGCATTCATTGATTTTGTTTTTTAATTGATACTTTTATGCAACTTACTCACAATAAGAATGTTACAATTATTACAGCATTAGATCAATATTATCAAGCATTTTGGATCCAACTCAAAATAAAATAAGAATTACAGTACAGTTTTATATCTTTCCTTTGAAAAATGAACATAAGGAAAAGTATAACAGAATAGTTTTTCATTAGCTTAAAAGTCCATTTTAAATACTCCTTACATGCAGTAGAGTTCCTTGCAAGTTTTATTAATGTTCACAAAAACAGGTCAAATTCAGGCATTGATGAGAAAAAAAGGCATATCCAAATAATATTCTGAAAGAAATCTGCAAATCCATTATACCTTTCTTAGTTCTAATTAGGGTTTTCCCCCTTTTCCATTTAACTCTTTTCATTTTTTAGTATCTCTCATGGACACCTTAGCAGAAGCTATCAGCTTTGACAGAAGACAAAAGTTCTGGCAATGAACCATAAATTGGCCATTTCCATAAAAAGAACTGCTAAATGAGAAACCATGTGCTCAGTATATGAAACTAATTTCATGCTTTCAAAAGCACACAGTGGCTTCTAGCAAGAGAGTGGCCCTGGGACTTGCAAAGACAGATCGGCTAAATAGAAATAGGTTTTCTGCTGGTTAGCCATGCTTTACATGTACTGTTAGTAAATAGAAATTCTCGAATCTTCTGTCAAACCTATATACATTCTTTTCCATAACTCTAGGGTTGAACGCTATAAAAACAACTGCCTTGTGAACAAATTTACAGCAAAAAGCATGAGATGGCTTAGGTTCTTATGAAAGGACTGCAGAGTTACTATTCATTTTGTAACAAGAAATGGTTTTTCTTTCCTATTGGATATTACCACCCATTCCTAAAACAAATATCCAAAGAGGAAGCAAGCAAATAACAAGATTTGGTGAATAATTTACAAACTGAAATGATTGGGCAGAACTTTTTAGACATGTAAACACAACTTAATCCTCTGACATGTTGTTTTTAAACTTAAGGGACTGATAATGTGAATTGCAGAGATTATTACCAGCAATGTATTCAGGTCTTTAAAAAGATTTGCAACGTTTAAATGTCATATTTAATTAAAGTATTGTTAGGCAGAAGTTATAGGAATTTTATTCCTCTTATAAAACAAGTTATCATTGCAAACAAATTACTAGAGGTTGTCCCATATCTGGCAGGTCGTATCTTTTAATACTGACAAAATCAGATACGTATCACGTCAGTATATTGCTTTTGCTTTTAACTTTATTAGCTGAAAGGTACATTTGCCATTTATAGTTCAAGTCAAGCTTTTCATAAATAGGATTTTATGCTCTGCAGTTTGTTTCCTGACCACAAGTATATAATCACACTGATGATTAATTAGCCTCATTCGTTAATCATCAGCTTGTCATATTGTATCAATAGATGTGTGTTAATGTATTTGAAATGCATAATGACTATTCTGCCAGGAGAGTTTCTTCTGGTAATAAATACTACACCAGCAATACAGAGAAGACAACCCATTACATAGAATTGCATTTGCAATACGTTATTAGTTACAATCAGAAAAATAATAACCTGTTTTCTCATAATTTTTTTAGCCTTGTTCTTTTGCTATAGGTGACAAACAAAATTCCACTTCCAAACATGTGAGGATTACAAGGCTGCATCTCATTTTGAAATGAGTATAATTCTGTAATGTTTATATTTTTTTAAAAAAGCATTGCTCACCTCTGCTAGGAAGTCCACTCCACATGATGGTACTGTCGTGCTAAATATCCAGCTTGTAAAAGACACCAGGCTAGAAATTCAAAACTTCCAATTTGTGACCAGCAACAGAAGATGGGTTGGATACTACAGAGACCTGGATCTCCAGCCCTGATCATCTGTGTGCCAGGAAACTGTTATACCAGTGCAGCTTCAAACCTTCTCCACTGCTGGCTTATTTGCACTGCTCATTGAAAATCCTTTACACGCTGGCAGCATTTTAGGGAAGGACAAGCATACTGAGTCATTTGTAAAGAAATTGCAGCAATTTTAGTTCCACACATTCACTTGTACTGAAATATATACACACAGCACTGTTGAAGTAGAAGGTATTTGGAGTGGATTTATACCGAGAAACAAACAATCTTCAGGCTTCATTATCAATGCATGGAATCAACTGCAGTGATCAGACTCAAGCAAGGCAGATTATTACGAAATGGCTCTACAGAGATAACTTCAAACCCTAAAGAATCATCTTCCTAAAAGCGTGAGTGTTAAAATTAGAGCTAAATTCTCCACAGGGAGAGGGAGCATTCATAGTCAATATGTTAATATGTATTATTGGGCTTGATTTAGAAATGAAAAACGACATGTTGACTATGGTTTTTTTCCTGTTTATATAAAAATGCACAACACATGCTCAGAAAGGAAACACTGCTTATATCCTGCTGCCATAAAATAGCCTGAAAGCCTCCCCCCACCCTTCTCAAAAGACATAAATGGACATGGAAAACTCTAGTCACACTATTATTGACTGTGTAAATGTAGGCATCTGATACTTCAGATCTGCACCTTTAAAATGTTTACTTTCTGCCCTACTGCTTTCTTTCTTTTGATGTAGGTCACTTCTTGTTCTCTCAGATTTCTAATCATTTCACCCTCTTAGTCCCTTGTCTCAGCCTGTTCCCTGTTGCCTCTAGCATTGTTACAGTCACTCATCCACCACCTTTCATTCACTGCAGCTGCTTCAGCTCATGATGCCTTTGCACAAAACAGTTAGGCTAACTGTAACAAATTTCTTTCGACACCAAAATATGCCCTCTCTTTGGAAACTGCCCTCACTGCTGCTCTCCTATCAGAGCTCTTTGTGGGGTTTTTTTTTTCAAAAACCAACAAACAGAAGGGAAATTGGAGGCCACCTGTATGTTTCAGCTTTGATTGCTTCTTAAATTTTTGGCAGTCATTCTGTGCCTTTGTATTCTCTCTGGCAGCGCTTTGTTGCTATGTCATTCTCCTGGGCTTTTTCTTCCATATTGTCTGAGTTGTTAGCTTTTGCTTTCTTTCATAACACATCCAGATTGTTCCCTTGTGACTTCAATCTTCAAGAAAAAATCTAGCTACCTCTCGTCTTCAAGTTACATTTCCATCACTGGCACCCACTTTTCATTTCTACTATTTGCTGCCATGGTCACTCCATTGATCTTTAAGAACTGTACTCTTTAGCTCTTTCCATTATGGATATTTTTTCTTGTTTGAACATCACACTGTCACTTTTAATACATCCTCCCCATCTCACTGTTTGTACCACTCAACATCTTGCTTGTACTGTGACCTACAATCTAATAATATATTTCTTGAAGTTTATTTCCATTATTTATCTCCAACTTCTGACCTCTTCCTAGACTTTTTTCTTTACTTTTATCCCCTCTCAGCCAATGCTCCACTGTTCAAGCAAACGTGACATGTATTTTCATGACTCCATTTGGTATGTGTCCCCAAGTTGCTAAGCATATGCTAAGGAAAAATCAAACTATCTAACTGCTTTTATTCATTTCAACTGTCCTTCTCTGTATTTTATCTTCCTAGCTTGTATTACAATACAGGTCTAATTCTGAAATTATTTTCTGTGTTTCATGCTGTACTTAGTCCTCTTTCTTTACTTCATGTATTACTAGCTTCCATAGGAAAACTAATTAGCTATCTTTCTCTCCTACTACTTTCTCCAGACTTCATCTCTTTCAGTATTTATTGATGAAATCTTGTCCATTAAATCACTCAACTTGCCACCTTAAATTAACAGATCTGATTTATCTATTATCTATTCCGAATAAATCATAGCCCTCTTTTCCTCTATGCAGGGGTGTCAAACTCACATTGTCACGGCGTCGTCGCATGATGTATTGGGACTTTTCCCCCCTTCGCTAAACCGGGAATGGGCATGGCCAGCGCGTGACGTATCCGGCCCATGGGCCGGGAGTTTTGATAGCATTGCTCTAAGATAATATACCATTATCTTATTTATTCTGGAATAAAGCACCTTGTAAATTTTAATGTCTCTTCTCCTCCCCGCCACCTCCCTATAAGCATCACAATAAATACATCCAGCTTATTATATCCATTTGGCATTTTAAAACTACAGATGCCTGAAAAGACACAATTGCTTAATCACACGTATCCAGTAATCCAATAGAAGTGAATATACAGTATGCACCTCGGGTTGAGCCAGGGATTCTATACCTAATAATGGGGTATTAATGGGGCAAAAACATCTTCTTTCTAAAATGCAGCTCCAAAGTCAAAAACATTGCTTGTCTCATGCTTAACTTTTACTCACTATTCTTAAGTCTTAAATTTTTTTAAAAAATATTTTCCACATTTAGCAACTTACCTTCTCATCTCTCCCTGTCTCTTTTTTCTCTTCCCCATCTTTGCATTTTAGATGGCAGGAGAAAGGGACTTGGTCAGTTTTGCTAATGGAATGTTAAACTGCCTGGAAAACTGATAGTACTATCTAAATCAGAGGTGGAGAACGATAGCTCCTTTATGACTTGTGGACTTCAATTCCCAGAATTCCTGAGCCAGCATGGGCCACCGTATCCCAGCTCTGATCTAAATTATACTGAATGCTTCTGAATGCTTCTCAAGTCAACAGGATTTATGCATGGTACAAGCTATCCACCAAAACATACTTCTTCTCAAATACAATTTCCACTTAGAATATCAATTTGAACTTGATATTGTAACTTTAGATTATAGAAAGAATATAGAGTATAAAACTAGACAAGTCTATGCAACTCCCAAATTTGTGTATTAAGTTCTGAACAGCTGAATAAAGCCTAGATTCAGAATTTCATTTTGGAGAACTCTGCTTAAGAGATGTTTCTAACAGAGCAACAATAGCCAACCTTTTTACAATATGTAGTATGGTTCATGTGTAAATAACATGCAGTGGGGCATATTTCTCTTCTGCAGCATCATTGTGTAGGATTCTATCCTCATTCTTTCCTCTGTTCATCACCTATTCAATTCAAAGCCATAATATGTGGTGAGATACATCATGTTCCCTCATCACATATACTACAAACTTCCCTTCTTGGTAACTGGCAGTTCTCTGGTGTTGTATACAAAACATTATCCCCGTATAACCTTAACATTTATACTCAGAAGGCATAATTAATGAGACAACTGGCATCCAGTGCATTGATTAGAACAAAAGATTAGGAACAGGGAGACTCACTTTCCTATGTCATTCACTGGTAATCTTAGGACAAGCTATCAGTAACCTACTTTTCAAAGACAAAATTGGAGAATATAAATCAAACACACTTGGGCTATGTGAAGTGTCAAAATGATTCCATTTGAAAAGAGATTTGATTGAAAGCCCATTTGAATTAAATGTTCACAGTAAAATCAATTTCAGGTGTCAAACCAAATCACATTTTTCAACACTTTGAAAACATTTACATGCAATTCAGATACCAGATGGACTTTCTAGCTTTGCAATCTCAAACCTGGTTGCAGCTTTACTTCCATATATGCACAAAACTGAAGTAGGTTGAGTGGCATTTTGCGGAGTTTCTCTTCTCCGCCCCACGCCCAAAGGAAAGCCAGTCGGGCTTCTCCTCCAAGAACCTCCCCTCCCCCCTGCTCTCTGCTCCCTTCCCCCTACCCCCCACTCAATCCCACTTCAGGACAGAGGAGTGGGCACTGGAAACAAGTGTTGAGGCGATGTCGGAGCACATCTTCTGACATTCTGGCGCACGTCCCACAACTCTCCACACTCCTCCAGGCCTGGTTTGCTGAGGGGGGCAGGGGAGCGGCCCTGACGCCTCCACTGCCCCTCCATGGCCCCAGCTATCGCTGCCCAGCTTCCTCAAAGGTACGGTGCGTTTCAAAGGCGGCAGCTCGTGTCTGGAGGTGCCGAAGAGTGTCCTGCTGTGAGAACCAGGCCAGGCCTCTCCACTATCCAACTCGCTAATGGGGACACTTCTACCGGGCCAGCCGTCCCCCCCTCCCACTGGGCTTTTGTGCTCGGCGCTTGGCCAGGGGAGGGGAGCGCTTCCCCACGCTGCCCCCTTCTTTCTCTTGGCCCCACTGAGGGACAAGGAAAGTCTAGCTTGGGGGATGGCCCTCATCCCATAAGATCCGCCCTCACCATTCTCTCCCAGCCCTCTTTGCTGGTGGCAACAGCAAATTCCACATTGAAGGCCGAATCCTGTTGCCGTGCAAAGGCAAGTACAGGGGCACTTCGCTCCTGCACTAAGGTTCCGCCCATTGCCACCACTGTGACAGGGTGATGGCTCTTTCATCCCTGTGCCGTGACAGGGTCACAGGGCGCTGCAGCAAAAGGGTGAAAGAGCCGCATGGGTCGCATTGTAGGCTTGAGGAAGATGGGACCCATTTCCCTCATTGTGAAGTGAGCGAGTGAAAAAGTTTACTCAATCAATTCCAACTTTGTGAGATCTTTTTCTTTCATGAGAAGTTGGAATTGATTGAGTGAAACATGCTGGAGAAACGCAATTGGAGCTGGGCTGGAGCGAATGCACACGTGCCCACAGAGAGGGCTCTGCGTGCCACATTTGGCACGCCATCATGGATATATAGTAATACTGCTTTCCTTTTTTTAATCTCTTGGTTTTGTTTTGGAATTTGTTAGGTTGACTTGGAAGGAGGCAGATTTATTTGTTATTCCCTTTTGAACTTTTGCTCTTTTTATATATGATCCTCTATCTTTCCCAAAATCTATAAATTTTCTTTCCTAAATTCTGTCTTTTTATCTGGCCTGCCAGTCACATCTATAAACTGTTTGCAGTTCAATTGTTTTAGTCCCCCCCTTTTATTAATTTATTATTAAATAAGAAAGTCATTTACTTTCTTGTTGACTTTGCCCAGTTTAGCATTGAATGAATGTTCTTCACTTCATGAGTGCAGAATGAATTAGCATTGTAGGCTGTCAGGTCTGCCTTGATTGTCTAGCATGTGTAGATTTCCCTGACATTGTATGCTATATGCTAAATAACTGTATGAGTCTAAAATACTGTGTACAGAACACTATGCACAATATAGCTTATTTCTTTATACTAGATATTACATAACGTATTTTTTGGAGTATAAGACGCACCTTTCCCCCCCAAAAAAGACGGTGAAAATCTGGGTGCGTCTTATACTCCGAATGTAGCCCTGCCCAGCCTCTCAAACGGAGGTTTCAGAGGATGAAAAAAGCCTCAGAAACGAAGTTTCAGAAATGAAGCCTCAGAAATGAAGCTTCAGGAAAAAAGCCTCATAAACAGAGCTTCAGAAAAAAAGCCTGAGAGACGAAGCTTCAGAAAAAAAGCCTCCAAACCAAGCTTCAGAAAAAATGTCTCTGAAACAAAAGAGGCTTTTTTTCTGCCGCCCTGTTTCGGAGGTTTTCAGAGGCAGAAAAAAAAGCCTTTGAAACAGAGGTTTCAGAGGCTGAAAAAAAAAAAGCAAGGCACAGAACTCACAACCAACTAACTATTGCTAAAATTCACCTCTGGAAACAGCTGATTGGGAGCATTCTGGCAGGCTGATCCACCCGCCAATCAGCTTTTTTCTTATTTTCCTCCCCAAAAACTAAGGTGTGTCTTATACTCCGAAAAATACGGTATGCAATATTGATTTTTTAATTGTTACGCTGATATCACAAAATACATCAATTCTAGAAAATTCTAATCTTGACAATAAACTATGATGTCCTCCAACCCAGAAAAGCAAATGATCAGAGAGCGTAGTAGGTTCTCTTTTCTTAAATATAAGCTTTATTTTTAAGAAACGTTTTGAAACGTTTAAGTATGACATTTTCTGTATTGGTTTCACACAGTCTTTGTAGATTATTTAAAGCACATTTTGGACGTAACTATCTTGCTTTCTCTTTTCTATTTTAAAAGTATGGGAATATTAATAATCACAATGAAATCTTTAATGCTATCCTGCCAAAACTTTCCTGTGAGTAGGGATCTCTCATCCCTACTGTTTTCATTCAATTCTACCAAAAAATGAACCTGCAATAGATTTTTTAATATTTTCCCTTATAACCTATGAAACAGGGCATATTCCATTTGCTTATTCAAATCCTTATATATAAAAACTATTCATAATACCAAATAAAAGAGCTACTGCATTAGTAACACTTTGATAGTGATTTTTAATTAAAGGCAATTACAACTAATTCTATAGAAAAGCTTAGGTTACTGCAGGTCAGAGATTCTAAAAAAAATAAAATAAGAAAATAACTAATACCAAATAACTGAATATACTTACACAATATTTTGCAGGGCATCTGGTTTAAAGATTAAATTTATAGTTTTAAAACTTATTACAAATGGTAATTATATAAATGATCCTTTTAATGATTTAATAACACAAAAAGTGGATTATTTTAGGTACAAATCACACCATTTTTGTTCTGATAAAATATGAACTGAAATGAGTATTTTAATATTTGCTTCTAAATTGCTGGATAATGTTGATTGCAAACTGGATGGTTTTTCATATTTCTTAAGGGAAAATCACTAGGAAGACATTCAAATATGTAGGAGAATAGAAAGAGATAAGTGATTTTTAAAAAAAAAATATGGGAAAGAAAACCACATCTTCAAAGCAATGATGCTTCGGTAGACACTGTGATCACGTAGCACTGTTAACCATGGGTAACTTTATCATGACTTATTCAACTCAGTTTTCAAGGTTCATATGATACAATGAACCATAAATTAAAGGCTGGGTATTCATAACATAGTACGCTATGGTTGGCTATGTAATTCAGTGGCCTTATCTGCATAACATATTAAGTTGGGTAAGGCTTGTCTATTGGACAAACATATCCAACCAATAAAAGAGTTAAAATTTTTACTCCACAATAGCCCA